GCCCTATTGCAAAAATCTTCAAAAGAAATTAAAAAATAAGAAAGAAATGCACACTAATAAAATTGCATCAAGTAGAAAACAGGGGGAAAAATCTCAAAAGGAAGAAACAGGTGGAGATTCTAGAGTTGTGAAGTACAATAATTGAAATTCAAAATTCAATACAGGGACTTCACAGTACATTTGAAGTAGCAAAAGAAATAATTGACAAACTTGAAAAATTAATTGACAGAGATTATGCAATAATAAAAAAGAGAGAAAAAGATTGAAGAAAAATTAACTGAGCCTACAAAGCAATGTTAGATACTACTGTATTTAGTACACCAATATATGCATAATGGAAGTACCAGAGAAATAGGAAAAAGAGAAAGAGGCTGAAAGAAATATTCAAATAGGGACCAACAGTTAGCGTAATGGCTATGTCGCTGAACTCCCATGTAGTCGGCCGCGATTCGAGTCCCAGACCCAGTGGCTTAAACTCACGCTGAGTGCATGTGTGTGAGTGCCCAAGATCCCGAGAGGAGAATGGAGAAGAGATTGCGGCATGGCCACCCCCCCGGGGGATGATTACTCGCTTTCTGTCTCTCTGTCTCTCTCTGCCTTTCTGGCAAGTGCATGTGCCCTATAGCAAAAACCTCTCCAAAAAAAAAAAAAAAAGAATTAAAAAAAAACCACATTCAAATAAATAATAGCTAGAAACTTCTACAACATATTATTTCAGATATCCAGAAGCTCAATGAGCTATAGGTATAAAGCAAACAGATCCACACACAAATAAACCAGTAAAAGTGCTGGAAGCCAAAGTCATGAAGAAAAATCTTAAGGGCAGCCAGAGAAAAGCAATTTGTCACTTACAAGGAGCTCCAATAAGATCAACAACTAACTTCTCATTAGGAAACAATTTTCACAAAGAAAACTGCTTTACTTGTCAGAAAGCAGGAAAAATAACTGTTAACCAAAAATACTATATTCAATAAGGCTATCTTTTAGAAAATAAAGTAAAATAAATATATATCATGTAAACAGAAACTAAAATAATATGTTGCTAGCATACACTCCTTATGAGAAATACTAAAGAATATTTCTCAGGGTAAAAACAAATGACTCCATTTGAAAAAACAAAATACAGTAAATGTACTTTATAATTACACAGACAGTATAAATGCATATTTTCACCTTTTCTCTTTTAACTAGTTTGAAAAACAACTGTATAAAACTATATATATGTGTACACATATATGTGTGTGTGTGTATATATACATACATACCTATATGTATGGCTGTTGGAAAAGTCATGATGCATTTTTGCATAGAAAAATAGAAAATACATCATGACTTTCCTGGAGACCTAATATAATATATTATTGGGCCTGTAACATATAAAAATGCAATATATTTGCCAAAAACAGCACAAAGGAAGAAGGTGAAAGCAAAGCCATATTGGGTAAAAAACATGACTCCAGATGGTAACTTGAATCCACAGGAGCAAATGAAGAAAACAAAAATACTAAATACAGATGTTAATATAATAAGATATAAATATATTGTTGCTCTTCTTGTTTTCCCTTTGCTTTTAAAAATGGCACTGCCATATACAGTAATAATTATGTCAACTTTCATTTGTAACATTAAATTATCTATACACACACACATACATATATATAGTAATCGCACCACAAAAAGGGAATACTTAAAAGATTTTTAAATAAATTACAAAATTCTACTTCCAATTTTTAAAAGTTTTTAGACTCAGCATTTGTCAAAGTGACAAATTTATTACTTCTGGTGTTTTTTTCTCTCCCAATAAATAAAGAAATAAATTTTTTTCAAGAAAAATGCAATCCAAATAGCACTATAACAAGTCCATCCATTGATAAAGGGATAAAAAAAAAAAGTAGCATAGTCACATGATGGAATTAATTAGTCATGAACAGGAATAAAGCGCTGATACATACTATAAAACCAGTGATTCTTGAAGATATTATGCTAAGTGAAAGAAGCTAGTGACATAAGCCCACATATTAAATGATCCATTTACATGACATGTCCAGAATTGGTAAATGTATCCTGACAAAATATATGTAAGTGAATGCTTAGGTCCATGGAAATGGAGGAATATGGAAATAAAGAATGTGGTTGCTGTTTTTGTTTCTTGGGTGATGAAGATGTTCTGACTGTGATGGTGGTTATTCAAATCTAAGTATTATAAAAACTATTGAATTATTACTTTGGGTGAATATACGGTACATAAATTACATCTCAATAGAGCTATTTTTTTTTTCTTAAAGATAATGGAAATTGTGTTTCATAAACTTTGTGACCAATGGTGCATAATCAAAATAGTTTGAGACCCAGACACGGTGGGACATGTGAAAATGCACCACCGTGCAGCAGGGGCTGAAGCTGAGGCTGCTCAGGAGGGCTGGGTTTGGTTTTGGCCCTGTTATTCTAACAGGCGGGGTACAGCTACATGCACCTGTGGTCTTAGATGAGAGGTTGGGGCAGCAGGATCACAGTATGTGCAAGAGCCTGTTATAATGTCTGTTTCTCTACCTCCTCCCACCAGCATGCATGCTCTCTCACCAAAAAGAAAGTTCAATATCCCTTGTCTCAACAGTCCTGACAGATGGATATATTGGGTTGTTGGATAAATCATGACAGATTTTTTTTCTATGCAAAAATACATCACCACTTTTCCAAGAACCCAGCATTACATATTCTAATTCTTGATGCTTGTATTATATTATTATTATTATTATTATTATTATAGATTATTGCTATAGGGCAGAGAGAGACAGAAGAGAAAGAAATCATTCCTCCCGGAGGGTTGGCCATGCTGCAACCTTTTCTCCTCCATTCTCCTCTCAGGATTTGGGCATACATGCACATGCGCCTGGCATGATTTTCAAGCGGTCGGGTCTGGGACTCAAACCGCAGTAGGCCATGTGGGAGTCCAGTGACATAACCATTATGCCATCTGCTGGTCAAGTTATAAAGTAGTCTCACAATTGTTATAAACCAGCAAAGATCTGGCAAAGGGTGCAACTGCACAGATCAAACCAACTCCAATCTCATTATATAAAAGAAAGAAACTCTTCGGGAACAATCTAAGCAATATAATGCCTATTCTCCTTCGGTCTCTTTATTCTAATTTCCTTTGCCAAGCATTTATAGCCCAATAATACAGACTTTCCAACCATCCGATTTATTTGTTTTATCAGCTAATTGTTGGACTTGTTTTCTCTTTATCTTTTCCTTAGATTACACATATAGTTTGTGGACACGACTATCCTGGAGCAGGAGTTGGCAAACCTCTTCTGTAAAGAGCCAAATAGTAAATATTTTAGGCTTTGTAGCCATAACATCTCTATATCAACTACTCAGTTCTGCTGGTAAAGCACAAAAGCAATCACAGACTATCCATTAACAAATGAGCAGGGCTGTGTTCCAGTAATTTTTTTTTTTTTTTTTACAAACACTGAAATTTAAATTCCATATCACTTTTACATGGGAACTATTCAAGATAACTTTTTTTCAGCCAATTATTTTTTACCCATATAAAAATACAGACATATTTAAATACAGACACAACTTTATAAAAGCATGTGGCTAGGGTCAGCAGGTGGCAGACCTGCTGAGGGCTGCCTGTTGAGGTGCTGGGCTCCCTGTGCATGGCCAACTATGGTTCAAGTCCTGAACCCGGCAGCTTGAAACTCCAGCTGGGTGCGTGTGTGGGTGTGCCCAAAATCCCTAGAGGAGAATGGAGGAGAAGGGACTGCAGTGTGACCATTCCCCGGGGGGATGAGTGGGGGGGGGTGGTTTCTCACTTCTCTCTCTGTCTCTCTGGTAAGCACACACACCCTATAGCAAAAATCTCTCTAAAAAACAAAGACAAAAACATGTGACTGACTGGACTTGACCTGTGGACCTTAATTTGCCTTTGACTATGAATAAATAAAAATGTAACTAAGAAAATTCTCTAAAATAATTAATTTTACGAAACTTTTTTTTAAAAATATAAGTCTCATGGTGGGGGTGGGAAGTGGCGAAAGCTTAGAAAGTTACCAAAAGTATTACACTTATGCCTTTAACACTTAAAACCTCTCAAATCTAATTATGTGTAATTAAAATTAATTCTATCATTGACAGAGCATACATACAAACAAACAAACAATCTTCCAAGCAACTCAGTAATCTTCTTGGCAAACTTGTAAAATGAAAATTAGTTTTCATCCTCTTCAGCTGAGTGAATTTCAGTCATTCTGTAATCTTAAAAATTAGACCCTAGGGAGGAAAAAAATCACCCAACCAGGATTTAGGATGAAAACTTTCTTTCCTTCCTTTCTCTTTCTTTCTTCTTCCTTTGATCATTCGTAACCTCATATTTCCAATCACTGTTTTATTTTTCAACACACAGTTTGTGGCTAAGTAACAAAAATACCTGGTTGAAGAAAAGTGAAAAGGTTGGGACTAGCCAGTGGCATAGTGGTTAAGGTGGCTGGATCCCATATGGCCAACTTTGTGATTCAAGTCCTGGACCTGGCAACCTGAAAAACATTCCGGGCACGTGTGTGTGTGTGTGTGTGTGTGTGTGTGCATGTGTGTGTGTGTGTGCCTCAAATCCCCAGAGGAAAATGGAGAAGAAGGAATTGAGGCATGGCCAACCCCCCTGGGGAGTGATTTCTCTCTCTCTTTTCAGCTAGCACACACGTCCCATAGAACAATAAAAAAAAATGAAAAAAAATCAACCTCTGAAATATTAGTGATATTTATGCAATAGTTTGACTGGATTTTAAAAAATAAACACTAATCATCATTGTTTTTACATTGAGCTGGTGCTCAACTTGGTTTTTTGTGTTTAGTTTTGTTTCTACCTATACTGCTAGTAGTTTTGCTTCTAGTTGGAAATACATTTTCCCTTCTTTGTTTAGCCATATGTTTTGATGACTCGAAAAGACAGTTTTTCTAGTATAGTACCTTTCCCCGATGTTAAGCATACATACCTAGATCAGAAGATGTAATGCTGAGTGATGAAGTTTGCCTTTCTGATAGTTTTACCACTGTGATGGTGTGAGGGACATCCAGAGACCACAAGAATCTAGGAAAAGATATTTTTAATAAATCAATAAATCAAATGTAATATTTCCTTTCTTTCCTCAAGTTTTCTTTCTTTCTTTTTTCTTTAGGATTTTTGCCATAGGGTATGCGCTTCTGGAGAAAGACAGAGAGAGAGAAAGTGAGAAATCATCTTCCGGGGGATGGCCATGCCACCATCCCTTCTCCTCCAGTCTCCTCTCAGGATTTTGGGCATGCACGCGCACACATCTGATTGTAATTCTCAAGCCATTGGGCCTAAGACGCAAACCACAGTCAGCCATGTGGGAGTGCCCTAGTACCTTAACCACTATACTACCTGCCTCCCCCCGCCAAGTTTTCTTTACTGCTTTAATTATTTTAAATATGATACGAACTCCATATAGATGTATATTTTTAAATTTTATATTCTTATTTACATTGAATTGTCATGCATCTTTATGCTATATAATATGGTTTTCCAAAACATGCATGTAGTACATGATAATCAAATCAGGGATTTATTTTTAACATGAAAAGATTAAATGCCACTCACAAAAAGAAAAAACATTAAATTAGAGAAAATTGGTATCTTCGCCAAGCACGACTCAATATAGCAACAAGAAGGCAGATCATATTGATATACATTGGGAGGCAACCTGCTTATGAATCATGCCATATTCGCGTCTACTGAAGAACCCAATTTATTTGCAATAATTTGAGTAGGAATACCTATGCCTCTTTTCTATAGATTTTTCTGAAGTATAATTTACTTTTCTGGTAGCATTATCCTTTTCTATCTTTCCTCATTTTTTTCCCTAGGCCTGCTGGACAAATTTAGCACAGAATGTGTTGTAACCATGGTGAGGCAGGGGGATAATCAACATAAAATGAGTTAGGATGATTTTTTTAAAGTGTTTGTGAAAATCCCATCAGTATGTTGTTGTGATATCTTTATGAAAACGGCTAATGAGATTTTAAAGCTAAATGACCCCTGGTGGGGAAAGTTTGATGGGTAACAAGCACATGAATTTGATTCAAGTGTTTCTGGGCTTCAGAAAAGCTAAGAGCAAATACTAAATTATCAATTTCTTCCCAAGGCAAGTAAAGCTGAAACTTCTGACATTTCTGTAAGAAAACCACAACCTTGCATCATTTTCAGTCCGAAGTCAAAAACCTTTTTGAACGTTAAGAGTTTATACTGTATAATGTCCCTAAAGTCACCAGATTCTAAGCACAGGACTGCCCCACACATTTCATGGAGATACATTTTAAGTCCTCCAACTACTGGCAAAAATGCAGATGAGCATACTTTTAAGAAGTTAATTGAAATAGAGTCTCCAGCTGACCTCAGGGAAAAGAAGAAGAAGCCATTATCCAAGATACGGCCATCTAATAGAGAAATGCTTAGGTAATTAGGCCTTATCTGTGCTTTCTGTCAACCCATGTGGTTATTTCTAGATAATAATTATTATGTAGAAAAAATTTTTATGATGTACAAAGTTCTATTAGTAAATCAAAAGAAAGGCAACCATTTGATGAGAGTATAAAATCATCATCAAGAGTTCTCGGGACCAGCAGTTAGCGTAATGGCTATGTCGCTGAACTCCCACGGAGCTGACCATGGTTCGAGTCCCAGACCCGGTGGCTTAAACTCACGCCGGGCACGTGTGCGTGCGTGCCCAAGATCCTGAGAGGAGAATAGAGGAGAAGGGATTGTGGCGTGGCCATCCCCCCAGGGGGTGATTTCTCGCTTTCTATCTCTCTGTCTCTCTGTCTTTCTGGTGAGAACACATGCCCTATAGCAAAAAAAAAAAAAAAAAACCTCTCCAAAAAAAAATTCTCAAATTATTTTTTTAAGTAGGATACACTATTTTCAAACAAAATTATACATGGAATACCCAGAGCAGAACGTAGATTTTTTTTTCTTTTTTTTGGAGAGGTTTTTGCGATAGGGCGCGTGCGCTCACCAGACAGAGAGAAACAGAGAGATAGAAAGCGAGAAATCACCCTCCAGGGGGGATGGCCATGTTGCAATCCCTTCTCCTCCATTTGCCTCTCAGGATCTTGGGCACACACGCACACGCACCTGGCGTGAGTTTAAGCCACCGGGTCTGGGACGCAAACTGTGGTCGACTATGTGGGAGTCCAGCAACATAGCTATTATGCTAACTGCTGGTCCCTAGAAAGCAGATTTTTGAAATTAAAAGTTTACTTTAAAAAATACAAAGGCAGGGCCAGCAGATGGCATAGCGGTTACATAGCTGGACTCCCACAAGTCCGACCATGGTTTGAGTTCAGGTCCCAATAGCTTGAAAATTCATGCTGGGCACTTGTGCATGTGTCTCCAAGAACCCAGGAGAAGAATGAAAGAGAAGAGATTACAGTGTGGCCATCTCCCCTGAGGTGTGATGTTCACTTTCCCTCTCACTGTCTCTGTCTTTCTCTCTCTCACTCTAGCCAGAACACGCACTCTAAGGCAAAAATCTCTTAAAAAAGAAAAAAAAAAAAAAAAGCAAGACAGACAGACATTCTCTAAATCAGAGATCACTCACCAAGGCCAAGGGTCAAATCTGGCTCTCCACCTGTTTTCAGACAGTCCATGAGATAAGATAGCTTTTACAATTTTAAGTTGTTAAAAGCTACCAGGAAATTAGTATTTCATGACACAAGAAGAGTACATGAAATTCAGATTTCAGTGTCTAGAAAGTTTTATCAGAACAGAGCCATGGTAATTTGTTTACTGATGATTATGCTTGCTTTCACAATTCAAGGCTGAACTTGAGGAGGGACAACAAAGACATTGTGTTCACGAAATTGAAAATAGTTACTGTCTGACCCTCTACACAAGAAGTTGGCCAGCCTCTGCTGTGGATGAGCACATTTCAGCTCGTTACCCAGAAGCCGGGTTTGCTGCAGTTTCCTTTCCTTCTACATGTGGGTTTGCTATCCACTCTGCCACTTGAGAACATCCCTAGTATCGTTCATCACATTTACTCGAAGGCAAGTTTCATCAATGATAAGTTCAGTACATGCTTGCCTGCTCTGTGCTTAGTCCTGTGGAGAATTCTGAATGAATTCAAGTTGTAACCTCTGCCCTCGAGTAGCTTAAAATCTAGCTCAGGGGCCAGCAGGTGGCGTGGTGGTTAGGGCGCTGGTTAGGGCGGGCCATGGTCCAGCATATGAGAAAATCTGATGGCATGATATTAAGTCATAATTTTGCAAAGTTTATTTTTAAAAAAAAAATTGACCACGGTCCAAGTCCTGGACCTGGTGACTTGCTTTCTCACTCTTTCTCTCTCTCATTCTCTCTGACTGATCAAATTGGAAAATTATAAAAATAAATAGTTAAATAAAATAATTATAAAAAAAAAGAAAAGAAAAGAAAATCTAGCTCAGGAGAAAACAATGGTCTGTTCCCATTGAAACAATTGCAGAATTCTGATTTCCACCAAACCCTCAGACTAGGTCTGTGGTGGAGTGCACATTAAAGTGAATGCTGGGGAGGGTCAGTGGATGGTGTCCTTGTTAGGGCACTGGACTCCCACATGGTCGACCATGGTTCAAGTCCTGGACCCGGTGGCTTGAAACACACTGAGTGTGTGTGCATGTGTGTCCAAAATCCTAAGAGGAGAGCAGAGAAGAGATTAATGGCATGGCTATCCCACCTGGGGGTGATTTCTCACTTTCTCTCTCTGTGTCTCTGGCAAGCACATGAGCTCTATAGGAAAAAAAAAAAAAAAAGGCAAAACACTCTAAAATGTGAGGGCTGGGGGAAATGAAGAAGTGAGTTCCCGTCATTGCAGAGGAAGTAATATCAAATTGAATAGTGAGCATCCAGTCCCTAAAGCACTCCACCTTGTTGCTTGGCCCTCCACTGTATTCTCCTCTGCAATCTCTCACTCCCACTTCTCACCATCTCTGATGCAGAGGACTTAGCTATTCCTTTTCTGCCATAGCTACTGCAGTGTATGACTTCAGGTCCCCCTTTCAGTCTGACCAGCTCATGGAGGTAGTGTTTACTTGTTCCTTAAATGAAGACGATTCTCTCCCTAAGAGAAACTCTGATGCCACCTGATAAGATACTTAAATACACAAAACAACACCACCAACAAAATGCATTTTGATAAACAGGAGAGGGAGGAAGAAAAGCATCCCTGGTGAGAGCAACATAGCAAGGGTTTGGAGACAGAGGTGGGGGCAGAGAGGGCTCAAACTGAACACAAACAGAGTGGGGATACGAGACATGAAAAGGAAATATGGTCAGAGAGACAAGCCAGTATGGCCAAAGGGCCAGGCAAGGAAGGCAACACTTGGATAAAAATAGAGATCGAGGTAAGTTTTTGAACATGGGATTAGTGTGATAAAAGTGGCACCTACCAAATCTGGCTATTGGGATTGGATTCAAGGGAACATGCTGAAGTCCAAGAGGTCAGAGAAAGGAATGCTGTAACAACTTAGGTATAATATGGTAAGCCTAGACTAGAGGGAGCCATGGGAATGGAGGGAAAGATGCTTAGAAGATTGTCTACAGAAAAATTGAAGTGGTCTAACTTTCAGGAATGAAGGGAGGAAAAGGATGATGAGGTTTGAACCTGGATGACTTGAGAAAGTGTGAAGACATTATCAAACATTATTATTTTAAAAATAAATGTATGATTAATTCCTTTCCTTATTTTCATAGGATAATTTTACCCTCTTATAGAAAAGGTACATATTTATATAGATGGGGTATAAAATTAAGACAGAAATTTAAATTAATACAGAAAAGGAAAACTGAGGGTGATATAATCTTTTGCCTACATATTAAATTCAGCTCCTAGCAGGTGAGGCTGGTGGCTTCACAGCTGTGACTCCCTATACCAATTTCTCCAGAGTCCATGCTTGTCTGGTAATAAATTTGGGAAGAAATCACACTGATCATCACTTTTGGGGCAATGAAATGAATACGACTTTTGTGCAGTTTCTGAAACATGCAGAAGATACTCTTCTGTTGGTCTGAGCCATGGTCCAGCATATGAGAAA